CATATAGAAAAATAAGCATTTAGGAATAGCCAAGAAACAGATGAGTAACAGGAGTAGGGGGACAAGCCCTACCAGATATGAAAACATATTAGAAAGGTATAAAAATAAAATATTTGGTACCAGATCATGAACAGGAAGAGAGATCAATATAAAGTCAAGGGCAGTCCATAGACTCACACAAATTCATGTAGGTATGAATTTAGCATGTAATAAAGGGGGAATTTCAATTTTTATTTTAAAATGGATTTTTCCACAAATGAGATTAGAACAACTGGGTAGCCATGTAGGAAACAAAATAAAACTTGAATCCCTTCCTCACTCCTTACACCAAAACAAATGATACATGTAGCAAAGCTTTAAAAGTTAATTATGAAAAGAAAATATTGAAGAAGTATTTTATAATTGCAAAGGAAAAATATTTTGTTAAGATAGAAAACCTAGAAGTCATAAAAGATTTGATAAATTTAACTAATGATTTAAACATTTATGTGCATCCAAAATTCCGTAACACAATCAAGACACAAACAAACTGAAGAAAATATTTGAAACATATGATGAAGGGCCAATTTCCTTTATATACAGAGAGAGTGCTTGTGTTAACAAACCAGGAAAAGATCTATATTAGATAAATTGGCCAAAAACCAGGAAGATCATAGCAAAATAAATACAAATAGTTTTTAAATGTATGAAAAATGCTCACCATCACTCAGCATTAAATATATAAAAATTAACCACTCAGCATTAAATATATAAAAATTAAATAAATTTCAAGTTTCATTTATCAGATGGGCCAAAAATAAATTCTGATAGCAATTTCCCTTATAGATATATATCTTGCAATTTCACTACTGCATATGTCCAACTTATATATATTAATACTCTGTGGCACCAATTCTGTAGCCAACAACTGGAAGTAAATAGTATGTTCATCAGTGGAGGCTTGCTAGATACATTATGGAGTGCTATGCAGCCATTAAAAAGGATGAGGAATATCTGTATATGGATACATAGAGAACTATGTCTAAGATTTATCTCTATGCTGCATGGTTACCAGGTTTAGAAAGAATAAAAGACCATGTGTACATACTGGTTTGTAGATGCATAAATTAAATTGTTAAAGCTTTCCTACTGGAGAGGGTGGAAGGCTGCCAGTGAGGAGTAGAAGGAAGATTTATTTTCTTCTACTCTTTGATACTATTTGAACCTTAAAGCCATTATTATTAAAAATGCTGATTTATATTTTCTTCCTTCTTTTACAAACTTCCAAATTATCTTTGACATTTTTTGTAATGTCTGATGCCTATTGATTTGTTCTGGGGCCTTTAGCTACCTGTCTTAATTTTTTTTTATCTGTAAAACAGAATTAATGACAGTGGCTGTCTGTCTCATGGGTGGCTGTGAGGCTCAAGGGAGAGCTGGATGACAACAGGCTCTGGCTGCCGTCAGATTCAACTGCAGGACATTAGAGGTGGCCTGTGTTCTGCCCAGCACCTGTCTACTACTTGGCAATGTCCCTGTGGCCACAGAGGCAAGCTGTGTATCACAGCTGGGTTCTCCAGTGGTGGAAGAATACATGATTCCAGTTATTTGTTAGTTCAACATTTCCTATGTAGCACCAAGGACACAGGTGCTAGGAAGAGCTGTGATGTTATTTCAGCACTATCTGAGCTGCAAGAGTATGGCTGCAAATGATGATAATCACAATAATGAAAATCTTACTGCTTTCAGCTAACCACCTATTTCACACATAATAACTCATTTGTTATCCTTGTTTTAAACATACGGCCAATGAGCTCCAAAGGGTCGAACCCACTCAAGGGGCCCAGCCAGTAAGGGGCTGAGCTTCTCCACTTGGATGCTGTCATTTCTCTACTCCGGGACTTTTGATGATTCCCTTTGCAGGATCCTGCCATCTCAGTCCGCCTTTTGTGGTCCCTTACAGTCTGTTCTGGATCTAATTTCCCAGTTCTCTCTGACCTGGGCTCTCTTTAAAGCTGGTCTCTGAACTGCCTCTGAACACACCATGCTCATTTCTGCACTGGTGCCTTTTCCTCTGAGCTGCTCACACCTCTAGTCCTACCTCTCTTGTCATCCCAGGGTCTTTAAGACCCTGTGTGAATCAGTTTCTCTTCTTCCCTGACACCTTCTCCTCTAACCTAGGTGACTTTTCAGAGGATGGCAGCCAGCTCCATCGGAATGGCTCTGTCATGGTATTCATGCCTCAGGCAGTCCCCTCCTGCATTGTATCAGGAGCGGTGTGTGCACCTACAGACAATGGCGTGTGCCTGCCATGGGAGGCTATAAGAGATGTTGCCACTTTCACCTTGCTTTCTCCTGGAACTTTTGCTGTGGGGGAAACCATTGTCGTGTTGAGAGGCAGTTCAGCAGCCCAAGGAGAGGTCCATGTGAGGAGGGACTGAGGCCTCCCATCAACAACCAGCACCAACTTGCCAGTGATGTGAGTGAGCCACCTTGGAAGTAGGTCCTTCTGTCCCCATCAAGCAGTCCCAGTCACCTTCAGGACTACAACCACATGGGAATCCCTCAGCCAGAACTTTTCAGCTAAGCTGCTCCCAGATTCCTGACTATAAAATAATGAGGATAAGAGATATTTATTGTTGTTTTAAGCTGCTATGGTTTTGGGGCATTTTGTTACACAGCAACAGCTAACTAATGTATGTTAACTAACTCCTTTGGGAAGCAGGATGTACACTTTGACCTTTGTCCAATTATTCTTTTCTGAACGTTTGCATGTGTCATCTTGTATCTCCAACAAAATAATAATCTATAATTCCCCTATATCTCCCATCATGGTTACTGGGGGTTGGGAACAGAAGGAGAATCCACAGTGATTCACCAGCTTCCTATTTGCGAAGAGAAGGCAGAGGGGTTAACTAACAGCCTCCAGCACACACATGCACAGAGCTTCTAGTTGGCTGGTGCCCTCATAAGTATGCAGACAACTCACACACACAACGCCTGCAACCTCCCTACCTGAGACCTACAACTCACTGGCACACTGGAGCATTCAAATGCCAGCATTCTCAAATATCCCATGGTGTGTCTGACTCACAACCCAGTGCCAGTTGGAAGGAGGGGCAGGAGGGCCTGGAGAAGCCTGCCACTTCTTACTACACTGCTACTGGAGATTTACTTACTGGCCCCACACCCTTTTCAAAGATATTTCTTTCAAACCCAGAGCGACAGTCTCCCTTTCAGCTTTCCTGATGCTCAATTCCAAATACATGGTACGCTTAACCCCATAGAACAATTTAGGAGCTAAAGAATCATAAAGAAAAATACTGTCGAGGGAGCTGTTGCTGTTCCTTTGAAAACAGCCCCCGCCCCAGTCTCTCCCGAGCCCAGCTGCCTCCTGGTCCCCAGTCCCTAGAGGTCCCTCCCCTCAGCCGCCCAGACTGCTTCCCTACAGGGAGCCGGTGGGAGGGCACGACCCTTCCCACGCTTCTCCCTCCTCCCACTCTTTCCCAGGCAGGCTGGCTTATTTTTCAAGACTAATAAACACCAGTGGAAGGGAAGAGGGGAGTGCCTTTGTAAAATGGTGTCTAAACAGAGGCAGTTCCACCATTTTTTTCGGCCGGGTGGGTGGAGGTGACCAAAGATACAATTATAACGTAGCCCATCCTCTCCCACACGACCCATTTTAACCAGTGTGTAATAAAGCCCAGCTCATCCACCCTCTGATTTGGGTCAAATGAGAGGAATTTTTAGCTTTTCTGGGGAGTTTGTGCCAGCAGGGGAAGCAGAGGGGAGAAGGAGGAGGGAAGGAATTAACAAATATGCTACAGTTCTCTGAAAGAAAGGAAAGACTGGGTGTGCAGGAAGCTGGGACGGGGTTGTCCGCCTTTCACTTCCTCCAACTGAGCCCCTCTTTCCAAGTTAGCCATCTAGCTCCCAAACCTTGGTGGAGACTAAGGTCTCCCTCTTCCTTGCTCTGGACTCAGTGAATCAGCTTTCACTGTGAGCTCCCAGGGCACACCCCCTTTGCTTCTCCTGCCTGCCTCCTGCTGGTTCCCTTGACCTTCCAGTAACTGGAAGATGTCACTGGTGTGCCCAACTCCCACCAGGCTGGCTTTGCCCATTCTGCCGCCTCAGCTAAAATGCCGTCCCCTCCCAACCTCCTCACCCAACCCCACCTTCACTGGGTGAACTCTTGCTCATACTTTAAGACTTGGTGCAGGTGTCACCTCCTCCAGGAAGCCCTCCTGAATTAGGTACCTGTCCTTCATGTTCACATCCTTCCCTGTCTCCTAGTTCCTTACCACATGGAGATGTACATGGAAAATGGGTGCTATTGTGATGGGCCTGGAGAGAGGAGGAGAAATAACTCTGGGATGTGAGGAGCTGGGGTAGGGTTAGCAGACCACAGCATGTGCTGCAGGATGAGTGTTGGGGGATCGGGCATGCCCGCAGCCTGTGGAGTGAGAGGGGCTGCCAGGGATAGAGAGAAACCTAGTCTCATCCAAACCCAGCTGCTTGAAAGGTGGTGACTGCGCCGCCATGGAGTGCTGGGGCTGGGGTGGGAGTAGGCAGTGGTAGGGACAGGGGTATGACCCTGTTGTGGCCACTAGAGACCAAGGGGTTTACCATGCAGTGAGCAAGGCAGGAGGTGAGGGCTTGGAAAGAGTTACAGGTCAATTACAGAGCTCTAGACAAACGGACCTTCATGATGAAAACTGTGAAAGGAAAAATGTGCACCCAAATGCAAAGCTTAACAGAGAAAAGGGTCATGAGGAAGCTTTCCTGAAACGGACAAGAGTAGGATAAAACAAAGGCTGGATCATCTACACACTCCCCCAGGAAAATGTCACTGCTTCCTTTACACCTTCACCCCAGCTCTCACTGCGGTCTGTGCACTGTGGGGCCACCCACCTGGTGTTCTCCCACCTGCAGTGCTTGGCCTCGTCTTTCCTTGGTCAGGGATGCTCTCACTCCTCTACCCTTGAGTCCCTCTTCTCCTCCCACTAGTCCTGAACACTCACTGAGCCCCTCAGGCAGTTGGAGACAGAGCAGGCGGCCTTCAGGGCCACAAGCACCCCCATTTCCACCAGTATGCTCAACAACTAATTTCACACACACAAGTATGGCCAGCTTTTAAAAGCAGATGGGACTAGAATTGATTCAACACAAATGTGGGTAAAATCATTACTGAATCACCCGGGGCAGGGGTACAGCCAAGCAGGGTCCCAAGACATATTTTCAGCTCCAAAAAGGATGCTTATTTTCAAAAGCATAGAGTGCACAGGACGGGAATGTAAGTTACTTGAGAGTGGGAATGAGTTGCTTCTCTCTACCTTCCATAGAGTGGAGCCTGGAGTTTCATATTACCAGGCATTTGGTATAATGTTTGCTGAGTGACTTGTTGAGCACACAGGGGCCTATTTATCTTTAAATAGTCAGTATCACCTCTACTTTGGAAAGGAGGAAATGACCTGGGGCAATAAGTAATAAAGAATGGCAAAGCCCTCAGTACATAGCAAGTGCTGGTGTGTGCGCCAAGGGCCTGGGCACATAGTGCACCTCTGTGGTCACGTGTGGCAAGAGGGCAAAGTGCTAAATCAGAAAATTTACATGAGCTAAATCTCCCAAGGAAAACATGAGAGAGTCTTATTTCTTCTGATTAAACGATTTATAAATCAGGATAAAAAGGACTTCCTCTGAAAACCTTTGGCCCAATATTGCTTCCATATTGCTATAACTTCAAAACATACCAAAGACAGCCACAGTGAAGCGTGCTATTGTATTCCTGAGGGTTCATCATGTGACAGGCGAGGGGAGCCCCTTGAAGGGGCTTGATCCCCAGGAGGGGAGAGGAGAGCACTTCCCTCTCCCTGTCTCCAGGAGGACCTGGATTAGCTGGAAGCATGAGTCATGCTCGATTTTCACGCTGTTGGCTCACTGAATCACTTCTGCTCTCAACACAAGACCCTGTCACAGTCAGAACCCCGAACACTGAGCAAGTCAAGGCACGTCCAGAGCTGCTTTAATTTCATGCAACCTTTCTTAAGCACCTACTGTGTGCCAGGTATTAAGCTGGGGTCTTTTACACTGAATACCTCATTTGATCCTTATACCAGCCTTATGAGATGATTATTTTTACCTTCATTTTCCTAGAAGGAGACTAAGACCAGGAGTGGCCAAGTCACATGTCTCAGGACTGCCGTAAGTCAGTGGCATGTTCCATTCTAAAACATCTGAAGGCTGAAAACTGGGATAATTCATGGGTGGCAGAGCTAGGAATGCTGTCTGCACACATCTGAAGAAGGCCTTAGGATGCCAGGGATGGACAGGACCTTTCACGGTTGAGGATGCTGAGGCACAGTCATGTCAAAGTGTCTACCTGGTCGTGGCAGGAAGCACAGCTTGAGTTCTTAGGCATGGCCAGGATGCTTGTGCTGGCTCCGGGAGCCACAGTGACTGTGCTGGGACCCGTATTTTGCCTTCACCCACTCAGCTCTCCACTCAGGCTGGGTGGGAAAAAATCTGTGACTCTGCCAGTCAGCACCACAGAAAGGACTACAGAGACGCTATTCTCACCCCTGAGATTATCCTCCCTCCTTCCCATCACCCAAGCCAAAAGGTGAGACGAATATGTCTTGGTTTTCCCAGGCCTTTCCTGGTTGAAGCGCTGAAAGTCCTGCATTCTGGGAACCCCCTCTGTCTCTGGCAAGCTGGGATGGTTGGTCGCCCTAGTTCATCTCCACCTCCTTGTATGCACCACCCACCTTCACTGCCCTTAAGGATCATGTGACCCCAGCTCCACTAGACAAACAGCGCAGGGGCTTTTTCCCCTAGCCCACACCCTTGAGGTCTTGTCCTGCCCCATTCAATGCCAGAGGAAGAGTTCCTGTTGTCATCAGGGATTGCTCAACCTGGGCACCTTGGTATTTCTCTTGTGAGGGGGCAGCCCTCTGTCCCGGGGCTCCCAGAGGGATCCAGGGCAAGGAGGAGCAGAAGGTAGGGAGACAGAACGTAACAGAACCGGGAAGAAAGGCAGGAGGGGAAGTTAATGAGATTTAAACAGGGAGAAAAGGGAGGAAAGGGAAGCGGGGAAAAGGAAGGTGTGGAGAAAGGAGAGAAGGAGGAGAGGTGACAGTATGGGTTATACAAATAAAAGAATGGCTAATCGCCATGGCCGGCTTCCTCAACAAGAAGTGGTCCAGGTTTTCAACAGATGCTCTCTGGGCAGAGATGTCTTGACAGTTGTATAGGGCTGTGGGGATTATGCAGTTAATCCTTACTTTGCAGATGTTGAGAAAACTAAAGCTTATAGGACTGGAATGTAAGAGCGTCCATGGCAGAAATCATGGTAAATACTTTTTTTGGTACCCAACCCAGAACTTCCATGATATCTTATGCATGGCAGGTTATTAAATGCTTATTAATAAGGACAGTGACAATGATATTGATCTCTGGCAATCCAGTCCTCCTCCTAAGCAGGTCTTTCCGAGTCATTGTCAACACAAAGTTGGATAATTATCTTGGAAATTTGAGCAATATGGCCATTAAGAATGAGAAGGCGGCCCCAATCCACTGGGAAACAGAAGCGGGGTTGTCTCCATGCATAGGCAGCTGCTGCATGGGGTTACTGGAGGGTACCCCACTAAGCTCTGCCCATTCCAAAGTATATCTCTTCCACCAACCTGATGTGATGCCACCCAGCTTGCCATTCCAACCACCGGGAATTCCCATTAGGGGAGGCTGGGTGGCATTAGCGAGACTGTCTCAAAAAACAAAATAAAACAAGAAGAATGGTAACAGGAACAGAGAGAAGAAAGAAGGTGGTCCCGAGGCAGGGAAGGTCCCCCTGGGAGGAGAAGGTTGTAAGCTAAGGTGGGACCTAGAAGTTCTGCTCTAGAGGAAAATGGCAGGTGATGGCCTGGAACAAAGCAACGAAGCCCACAGAGGGCTTCTGGAAACACTGCCTCCCTTCTTCAGGGTGCCCCCAAGCTCCCACCGCTCCACTCAAGGAAAGGGCTCTGCAGTCACAGACTTTAACCGCCAAACGTCTAACATGTCCTTTTGGTTTGGAGAAACCCGTGGGGAGAGTTTGATGGTAGGAAGCAGGACTCTGCCTCCCACTGAGGAAGAGGGGCCTCCTTCCACTCCCACCCCCGGCAGTGAGCACATCTGCACATAGCGCTAGGTCCAGCTGGCTGGACCCTGCTGCCAGGACCTTGAATCTTAAGTGAGTGACAGTTAGCAGCAGCAGTTTGTGTTGCTTATTTGCAACTATGAACTTTGAATGGCATAAATGTTGGGTATATCTGAATACCAGAGCCCTGCCGGAGATTCACAATGAATCAATCTCTTTGTCTCTGTCTCTCACACACACACACATGCCTGAGGAAGCCTACAGTAAAGAAACCTGTTTAACTTTGTTGAACTCTGCATTTCTCGAACTTGTTTAATCTTTCTGCTTTGCCTAACACCTTTTAATATCCTGCAGAACTGGTGTGGCAAGCACACCTTCAGGGAACACTGGGGTAGAGCCGTGCTTTCCAAACTTTTTCAGTCATGGAATTTGCAGAGAAACAATATTTTCATGGCACAAAGGAACTGGAGGGCTCTCAGGAGGGTGCTGGGCTGTTCAGTTGACAAGAGGGGTGAAGAGGCAAAGCCACTAGTGGGAAGCTCTGGACCAGAGGACAGAGCCGTCTGGGATATAAGCTTGGAGGTCTGACCTGTTTCCTTGGCTCTGGTGTGAAGCAGTCTCCATGAGGTCACACAGGTAGCGGTGGCATCCCAGGGCTGCCTCTGCTATACCACGCAGTTTCCCTCTAGGGCCCTTGGAGAAGTGGTCTTATCAGAGGATGCCTGCTTTCTGTTAACAGAAATGAGGGGGCAGAGTGGGGCAGCTCATCTTCCAATCCACCCCCCTCCCTGGAATTAGCTCAGGGTCGGGACTTGCCAGCTCTGCCCTCTGCTCCCCCCTTTTTCTCCTTCCCAACAAGTTCTGGATCCAGCCCCAGTAGGCAGTGCATGGAAGCTTCTTGTATGAGGAAGCCCACCCATTTGGAGGTCTCCTGTCTCTGCCATATGGTATCTGCTCTCTCCTTCATCTGCCAGCCGGGCATCAGCTCCTAACCTTCGGCTTCCGTGCTGTTCACGTCCTGAGGCCCCATAATCCTTGCTGGCAACCCTGCAGCCTGGGCTAGTGCCTACCTCGGCTCCACCAGCCTTGGTTTGCGGCCCTGTCTCCAGAGCCCCCATCTGCCTGCAGCCTGCCTCAGCCAGACTCTTTGGATCACAATCTCTGGCTAACATCACATGCATTTTTCAGAGGATCTGTACACCCCATGGATGTGAGTGCTGCCAAGCCCTGGGGGGCGGAGGTAGGGGTGATGTGTTTCTAACAAGATCAACCATTATAACCGGGCTTTGATTTAAAGCAAAATCTATTTCCCAAGCCGTATTTAATGCTAAGCAAGAGGCGAGTGTGCAGAGACCATAAGACCATATCTGTAGATTATGGCATTAAGTGTGCAAATGCAAGCATAGATGAAGCAGCCACAAAATTATAGGTAACAACGGGGCCTGATAGAAATCCAGGGAGCCGGCAGCTGCAGGGAGGCCCCCCAACTCTCCCCTCTACTTAGAGGCCGAGTCAATTTATAGCTTCCTCCTCCCCTGTTCCTGAGATCTTCAAATGCAAGTCTACAGGCCTGAGCAATGCTGGGCATGTTCACAGGTTCAGGAAAAGACACTTCTCCTTAAGCTCCCACTGCGCTGCCATTTGGAGTAGAGTGGAGAGACGTTCCGCTAGATGTCAGGAGTCTTGGGTTTAAGACCTACCTCTATTCCCTGCCAAAATGCATGATTTGGAGAAGGTGGTTAGCTTCCAGGAGTCATAGCTTCCTTCTGTAAGTTAAGGAGCTGCATTTTACCTTGAAGATCCTTCATGGTTTTATAATCTACAAGTCCATGATAAATAAAACTGCAATGGAGGAACCAGCTATGAAACTCCAGATGAGTTGTTGACCACTTCTCTACTTTCCTTATTTGTAAAATCAGGTTTACCATGGTTAATCTTACATATCAACTTGGCTATGCCATGGTATCCAGACACTGGGTCAAGTAGAAATAGTGGGAGTTGTAAATTACCTTTAG